TGACAACTTCCAGTTTCGCTTGATTCATACTTCGTACATTCCACATTCCGATTATTAGTGAATGTTCGCAGCTGTTTCTTCTCATTTTGAGTCATGCCACATCAGCAAATGAAAGTCCTAAAAGCTCCATCCATGTCATTAAGGTCGACCCTACTTTGTGGAGGCAGCTCTTCTCAAGTAGTATTTTGAGTGCCTTCCAACCTGAGGGGCTCATCTTCTGGCACTGTATCTGACAATGTTCTGCTGCTTCCATAAGGTTTCCACTGGCCTTTTTTTTCTAGAAGTAGATTGCCTCCTTTCCACTCTATCATAGTCTGGAAGCTCCGCTGAAACCTGTCCACCAAGGGTGACCCTGCTAGTATTTGAGATACCAGTGGCATAGCTCCCAGCATCACAGCAACATGCAAGTCACCACAGTACAACAAACTGACAGACGAGTGGTGGAATACCTTGTTAGGTCACATAACTGATGGCACTTGGCAGCACTCTGGGACACCGAACCTACTATATCCACCTTGACCAAAATAGATTGGCTGTGTATGCCCTTGCCAAAATAGTCATTCCAGCAGTTCGAGGTATGCTTTAGAGACACTTCAAAGTCAGCCACGCAAGCATTGTGCAGGATGCCAAGGTACGAAATGGAGCTCAAGAGAGTCACACTCTACTCTTGTCGCGAGTTTTATCTTGTGGTAAATGGCAGGGATTTCGGAGCTTTTCACTTGTCTTAGTTTCTTGGTGCTGCTATAACAGAAATACTACAAACGGGTAGCCTGAATGAACAGAAATAATTTTCTCACAGTTTAGGATGCTAGAAAACTGAATTCAGGGCACTGGCTCTAGGGGAAAGTTTTCTCTCTGAGTTGGCTATAGGAGAAGGCCCTTGTCTCTTTTCAGCTTCTATCCTCCATTGGTAATCTTCATGTGGCATCAATCTTACTCCATTTGTCCTTGCTTCTGTGCTTAATCTACTCTTTTTACATCTCAAAAGAGATTGGCTTAAAATACAATCTACAGTGACATAGCCTCATTAACATAACAAAGAAAACCCTATTCCCAAATGGGATTACATCCACAGGTTATAGGAGTTAGGATTTACAACACATATTTTGTGGGGGACACAATTCAATTACAAACCACTGTATATACCATCTCACCTCTATAAAAACCAAAACCCACTGCCGTCAAGTAGATTTTGACTCACAGTGACCCTATAGGACAGAGAAGAGCAGCTGGTAGATTCAAACTGCTCACCTTTTGGTTAGCAGACGAGCTCTTAGCCACTATGGCACCAGGGCTCTCACCTCTATACTGTGATACTTTCCCAAGATACTGACGTTTAATCCTCACAATAATGCAAACTAAGCAGGCATTTGAATGCCATTTTACAAATGGGCAAATTATGGTTTAGAAAAGGTAAATAATTTGTCCAAGATCATAAATACAAAATCTGATAGGACCAGGTCTTGAATTAAGATCCCTGAACCACCCACTTAAATGGTCTTTCTACTAAAGCTCTCACTAAACACCATGTGTTCAGTTCAGGTAGCTGATACTAGTGAATACAGATTATCTGTTCATGATGTTAGTGCTTCAAGAACACCTCATGCACAGCCACTGTCTGTTTGTCAGTGGAGCCTTGTGTGTTGCTCTGATGTTGAACAGGTTTCAGTGGAGCTTCTAGACTCAGACAGATTAGGAAAAAAGGCCTGGCAATGTACTTCCAAAAATCGGTTCGATCTGCAACCAGTCGTGGAGATGGCATTTTGTTCCACTGTCCAGGAGATCACCATGGTGGGAGGGTGGGGGGGTTTCTCAAAGACAGCTAACAACAACAGTAGTAGGTCTCAAAATTTAGCGCACACGTAAGAATCACCCAGAGGCCTTGTTAAAACACAAATTGCTGGACCCCACTCCCAGAGTTTCTGATTCAGGACACTTGGGGCTGGGCTGGAGAATTTGTATTCCTAACACATTCCCAGGCGTGATGACGTTGTTGGTGCAGGACAACACTTTAAGAACAAAAGGCCCCCCAAAGCATGAATAATCACAAATAGGGAGTTAAGATGCAAAACTGAGGCTGTATATCAGAATTACCTGTGGCATTTCTAAAGCACACAGATGACTAAAACCCACACCTATGCTATTTTGATACAGTACTTGAGGGGTTGGACTCAGGAGTCTATTTTTCATTTGGACAGCTCCATTGATGACTGTTGTACAGCCAAGACTGAGCAGAGTGGAGGGGAAGATTAGACTCATTTAATTGTTTATGTTTATGAAATAAGTTCTTTGTTAAAGTAACAGTAGAAATATTTAACTTACTAATTGTTACCATTTGCCTATCAAATTCACTTCAGATACACTAGAAACTAAAAAACAAGTTTAAAATAAACAGAAATACCTTGATTTACAGTATATCCTTAAAAACGTAACGCTCCATTTCACTGGGCCTACACTCTTTTCTGAAGGTTATACTCACTTCACAAAATCCGCTGCCATCGAGTAGATTCCGACTCATAGTAACCCTACAGGACAGAGTAGAACCGCCCCCATGTGGTTTCCAAGAAGTGGCTGGTGGATTTGAACTGCTGACCTTTTGGTTAGCAGCTGAGCTCTTAACCACTGCGCCACCAGGGCTCTGCTCTTCCCAAAGGGCATATATAAATGAACTTTTACCTAGCTCATGAACCTTGGAGCCAGTTGCTTTAGATAGCCATCTGTTCTCTTTTCCATTAAAAAGTGAAAAAATACCCTCCCTCCCTTGCAAAAATAACACCACAATTTACAGGATATCTTGCCTTTTAAAGGAGTTCTGGTGGTGCTGTGGTTAAAGCACTCAGCTGCTAACCAAAAAGTTGGCAGTTCGAACCTACCAGCTGCTCCGCGGGAGAAAGATGTGGCGGTCTGCTTCTGTAAAGATTTATAGCCTTGGAAACCCTATGGGGCAGTTCTACTATGTCCTATAGTGTCACTATGAATTGGAATCGACTCAATGGCAGTGGTTTTGGTTGATGGGTTTGCGCTTTAAATCCAAACAGGGATTTCTCTGACAATGTATGTCACTAATTTATAGCTCTCCTAGCTCTCTTTTTTTTTAAATGGAGAGGTCCTTCTACCTTGTGTAACTAATAAATATTAATTAAATCCAGTAAATATCCTATTCATATCAAACTTTCAATGTATTCATTTATTATTTATTTTTTATATCAGAATAGACTTGTGATTTCCTATTTTATTCAACAGGTTATATCTGTTGTCATCATTTATTTTGGTGCTCATCTTGTCTCTGATACAGTCAGTACCAGCCCTTTCAAGGTCTTTACATCTTTATGATACATCTCCATTTATCTCTAAGCACTTCCTTACTATCTAGAGCACCAAGATATTCCAGGCTCTCTTGCACTCTCCCTGCACCTCTGGACTCACTCATTTCTTCCAGAATCCCTGGTTTCTTTTAGTGGAGAATATACATAGAAACCAAAATCTGGGTACTAGATGTCAAAATCTGGGTACTAGGCTTCTTACCCTGGTGGTGCAGTGGTTAAGAGCTCGGCTGTTAACCAAAAGGTCGGCAGTTCAAATCCACCAGCTGCTCCTTGAAAACCCTATGGGGCAGTTTTCTACTCTGTATTATAGGGTCACTACGAGTCAGAATTGACTTGATGGCAATGGGTTTGGTTTTTTGGTTTTACAGGAAAGCTAAGGAGCCCTGGTGGCACAAATGGTTAAGTGCTTGGCTGCTAACCAAAAGGTTGGCAGTTCACACTTACTCAGAGGCTCCATGGGATAAAGACCTGGTGATCTGCTTCTATAAAGATTATAGTCAAGAAAACCCTATGGGGCAGTTCTACTCTGTCACATGGGTCGCTATGAGTTGAAATAGACTCTATTGCACCTAACACCAACATATGAAAGCTGCTCCGAGGTCCTCTCATTGGGCAAAGTTAAGGACTATCTGTACATATTTATATCTATATTTACTTCTAAATATATATACATTAAAAGCCACAAGTTCATACTGATAGGTCTAAGTCAAATCTGACAACACAGGGTTCATGCTAATTTCCTGTCTTTTCATACTTGTAATTCCCTTCTCCCTGAACCCCACTATCTTTAATATATTTACTTATGTGATCAGTCTCCCTGTACATAACCAATCTTCACAGCTGCCACTACACAGACACCCCCTCTCCCAACTCAGGCTGCCACTCCCACACATTTAAACCACCCTCACCCTGGTCAGACTTCCAACTCCTCATACTTGGCACCCTGTTACATGAAAACCTTCCCTACTCCACTCTGGCTCTGATACCCCATGCTAGACCATTCTCCACAGGGGTGCCTCCCTTACCTTCTCAAGCTCCGACTTCCCGAACCAGTCTGCTTTCCATGCAGACGCCCTCCTGACCACACTGTTCCCACACACTGCACTGAACCACCTCCATAACATGATGTGCTTTCTCTGCTCTGAGCCATGGTGGCTCCCCTGGCCCCCCAAGACATAACTTGCTTGATCACACCTAACGGCTTTAGAATTGAATTGCTCAGGGGAGGGCGAACCATTTTACTCATTTTTAAAATGGAATAAATTTACTAAATGGAATAAATGAATTTCTATTAATTTATACTTATGATTTTCAGTATTTCTTATCAGTCCCTAAGAACAGGCAGAAGAGGGGCTTCTTTATAACTTTATGTGATGTGGCAAATGATAAAAAGTTCTTATATAATAGTGGGCATCAATATTCTATTTCCCTTACATATATCTTTACTACTAAATCTCTACTGTTCCAATTCAGGTATCAGAGGTACCAGAATAAATCTAGGTCTGAGAATGAAACTTATTTTTAAAGATTATTTTAGATAAGTATTAACTAAATTAACGTTATCTTAGTTTTATTTGTTTCTTAAGGAAATCTTCTATAAGCCAGCTGAGAATGAAACAAAGCAGTTAGAAAACACAGACATTAACACCTAAAACATCCTCAGTCTAATCTTACCCTTGAGAAGATATTTTCCAGAGAACTGGTTAAGGATCTCTTAGCCTTATTTTTCAGAATGTCAAGTTTGAACCTCCCACTGCTTGTCGCATTTTCTGGGATTATACTATTTGAAATAGTCTATAGAGAGAAAAACAGATAAATTTCAGTTTGCAAGTATTCAAGGTTAAATGAGGCTTTAAATGTAGGCTTAACCAAGCCATCAAAAAGCATAAGAATTCTTCAGTAGCTCCATTAAGAATAATTTAGGTTTCGCATTGTGAACACACAGATTATAGGCAAAAGAGTTTAATTTTTTAAATTGTAAATAATAAAAAAGACAGCAATAAGCTCTTTCCTTCATGCCTTTCCTTTCTTCTAATAAATTCCGGCTGCATTTAACAACAATTAAACTTGCGATGGCAATTTTTACTGCTCTTATTTTGATTAATAACTATAACCACCCATTCCAATTTGCATATTTTATATCCAAACTACCAAGGGAAAAAAAAAAGAGAGAGAAATAAGTTGTAAAAAACAAAGCATCTTCTCGTAAAGCTGGAGTCTGCTAACGGCCGTGTTATAATTACATTTTCATTGGTGAGTGGGTCATTTTTCTTTTAGATGAGCAAGTATTCACTGATAGTACCGAACTGTATGAGCATCTACTATGCGTCCCCTGTTTATATTCTCTTTCCCAGTTCTTCACTCTGCCTTCCTTTACATGTCCATCCAATTCGTCACTAAGTCCTAATGGTTTTGTGTCCTAAATAGCTCTTTACTCACACCTTCCTAACATCTCCAGTGTTCTAGTTCAAGCTCTAACTTAAGATGAAAAAAATTTCCATGACAGAGTCATTCAATCTATTTATGTATCAGTGCTATCCCTGTGTCTTGCACATGCTTATATTATTGTTTTGTTGGTGGTATTGTTGTTAGGTGCCGTGGAGTCAATTTCAAGTCATAGTGACCCCATGTGACAGAACAGAACTGCCCTACAGGATTTTCTAGGCTAAAATCTTTATGGGAACAAATCACCAGGTATTTCTCCTGCAGAACTGCTGGCTGGGTTAGAACTGCCAACCTTGGGGTTTACAGCTGAGCACTTAACTGTTGTGCCACCAGGGCTCCTTATATTATTGCACTAATCACACCATGTTGTAATTTATTTGATTTGATTCTATGTTGGTTTGTCCTCTACACAGTTAGATAAAGGACAAGGCTGATATTTATCCCCATTACCTAGTACATAGAATGCATTTGATAAAGGTTTATGCAATAACTAAATGCATCACTTCTCACATATTCTATTACAAAATTCTCCTAATTGGAGAATGTGATTTCTGTCCAAACACTCCGAACCCCCTCATCCACTAACTCCCCTAAAAATCTACCATCACAGTGACAGAAGAATTATCTTTAAAGTGCAAATCGGATATTCTCGTGCTTTTACTTGAAATCCTTCAATGACAATGTCCAGTCTAGTACTTAAGGCCCTTCATCATCCTTCTGCTGCTTACCTTCCAGCCTTGCTCCCCCTACCCTCAAGTGCACCCTAAAAATCAGTTCACCTTTCTGAGTGCCTGCAAGGAATATGTTCAGTCATGCCGCTACATGCCATTGTGCTCAACGTTGCTTTCTAAAAACACATTCCCTAGACTTCCCTGATGAGCAAACTTTATGTCCGTTAAAACTCTAGCCCTTACAAAATACTCATCTCCTTGCATTCCTTAATACTCCCCCACCCTTACTCTCCACTCAAGCTCTAAAACATAGACAGATGTAGTAGCTGCTTTTGCTCTCCCTGCAAATTACTTTCTAAAAGCCACTTACTGCCTCTATTACACTATCTGCTTATGTGTTTGCCTTCCCCTTCAGAATGTTAAGCCCTGGTGGTGCAGCAATTAAAAGCCTGGCTGCTAACCAAAACGTCAGCAGTTCCAATCCACCAGCTGCTCCTTGGAAACCCTATGGGGTAGTTCTACTCTGTCCAATAGAGTCGCTATGAGTCTGAATCGACTCAGTGGCAATGGGTTTAGAATGTTTGAACCCTTCTCCAGAGAGAACATTGTTCGCTTATCTTTTTTTGTTGTTGTTGTTGTTACAACTAAGCACACAGTGTGGCTCATAGAAGGTTCTGAAAAGGTGTTTGTTCAATGACTAAATGAAGGAATGGGTACTAACCAAGTGATACATGATTTGTTCTGAATATAGGTTGAAATAAAGCTATAACTTGAACTAGTGTTATTAAGAGGTAATTATGTTATGATTCTCTTGCTATTGCTGATGGCTTTGCTTTACTCGTATGCAGATGGAAAAACATTCTAACCCACATGCATAAAACTACCATCCTTCAGTTTGCAGCTAGGGCTGCCACTTACGTATCACTACGCCCTCGCTCTTTACCACTCAGGCTGTCTAAGCTTTTTCCTGAGCTTTTGTACCTGGGTGGTACAAATGGTTACTCACTTGACTACTAGCCAGAAGGCTGGCAGTTCAAACCCATTCAGAGGCCTGTCTTCCAAGGACAGGACTGGCGATCTGCTTCTGAAAGGTCACAGCCTTGAAAACCCTACGGAGCAGTTCTACTCTGCACACATGGGGTCACCAGGAGTCGGAACTGACTCAACGACAACGAACAACAACACGAAGTTTTTAATAAATGTTCATAAGACACTGATATAGAATAATGGACTAACTAAAAATATACTTTCATTCTAAATCATGAACATTTCTCATCCTTGCTTTTATACTAAAAACCAAAACCCAAACCCACTGCCGTGGAGTCGATTCTGACTCACAGTGACCCTACAGGCCAGAGCAGAACTGTCCCATAGGGTTTCCAAGGAGCAGCTGGTGGATTCAAACTGCCAACATTTTGGTTAGCAGCCAAATGCTTAACCACTGTGCCACCAGGCTTCTGTTTTTATAATAAAAATCATAAATGTTTTTACATTTTAAAACCATCACTACTTTATCTCCATGGGACAGTGTCTGCTAAAATTTCCTATAGAACCCCTGAAATACCAGGGCAAAAAAGTATGATAGATTTTTGCCCTCAAAAAGATAAGAGTTCAAAGTAAAGAAATGCCTTCTTCATCCAATATTTTGACTAAATATGAGACAAACAAACAAAACAAACCAGACAACAAGAAAACGTCTCACCGAGGGGCCTTCCCCAATGTGAGTATGTGTCCTCTGCTTGGCCTCACACAGCTGCCTCAGATGTAAAATCACAAGTTCATTTTCTTCCTGGTCACTGACTGGCTTCATTTTCTGTTGAACAGACAAACCAAGAGACATTAGCAACACAGAGCCTCTCATTTTATTTGATTCTCACTTAGTTTTATCATTTTGGCAGACAAACATAAATAAAGCTTAAATTTTAACTGCTGTTAAAAGCAACACTGGCAACAACATTCTAGTTACTATTAAATATCACTGTACATCTTTAACTTCAGACAGAGGAGTGAAAAAGAGCTCATAAAAACAGAACCTGATTCTCATTTCTTATATCTTAGTTAGGAGAACTATAAATGATGTTACCTGAACTCGTTCAAAGATGTCAGCTTGCTCATTATCTGTCAAAGATGAGAGATGCCTCTGTATTACCAGCTTGGCTCTTGGGGGGTAGAGACCTAGGAAAAATGATTTAAAAAACAAGAAAAAAGAAAAAAAATCATTGCCATTGAGTTGATTTCAACTCATAGCAACCCTATAGGAAAGTGTAGAACCGCCTCACGGGGTTTCCAGGGAGTGGCTGGTGGATTCGAACTGCCAATCTTTTAGTGAGCAGCCGAGCTCTTAACCACTGCACCACCAGGGCGCCAATGTATTGACAGGAATACTATAATTCTGAGTAAGTGAAATGAAATACTGACATCTAGGTACTTTGCAATATCTTTCTCACTAACTTTCTACCCTTATTTGTGTTTAATCTAAATGTGGTTCTACCAGCTTCATAGTTTCTGCCTCAGCATAAAACAAGCTTCAAATTCACATATCTTACTCAGATTTAAAAAAAAAAAAAAACTTGTTGGGAAACACAAATGCCAAGAGGCTTCAGGGCAGCTGAGCCCTGAAGTCCTTCCCTTCTGATATTCTCAGAGGGAAGATTATCAAGTTTCTTTGAAAACAGATTACACAAATTCAAATCCTGGCTCTGCTCCTTGAGAGCAATATGACTTTGGCAAGTTGCCTACTCACTCTGCGTCTGGATGTCTCAGTTTCCTCAAGTATAAAATAAAGATCAAACACAGTACCTACCTTATCGGGTTTTTAGAAGGATTACATGAAAATACAATAGTGCCCAGCACGTGGTGAGTCCTATAGAACTATCTGTTTTATTGTTACTACTTTTATTCTTACTAGAGGAGCACTGGAGGAGCCCTGGTGGTACAGTGGTTAAAGTGTTTGGCTGCTAACCTAAAGGTCAGCAGTTCAAACCTACCAGCTGCTCCGTAGGATAAAGATGTGGCAATCTGCTTCCATAAAGATTTACAGCCTTGGAAACCCTATGGGGCAGTTCTATTCTGTCCTACAGGATCACTATGAGCCGGAATCGACTCGACAGCAATGATTTTTTTTTTCATAGGAGCACTGCCCTATCTAATGCTTTCTTTGCCTGATGTCAAAGGCAGAAAGAAAAAAAAACCATATAAGAGGGTGTTGCCCAAGGCCTTAGGAAAACCACCACCACAACAACCCTGTTAGTGTGAAGCCTTTTTCCAGTAAGCATAGCCCCTTCCTTTTTTCCCTTCAGATATATGCAAACCTTGAAGCTAGTGAAGCTTAAGTTTCAGGGCCCCCTCAAGACTTTGGCAGGGCCTATAGCAATTCTGCATTCATACTTTTGTGTTCTTTTTCTTAAAATGGGTCTTTAAAACTATAAAAACTTCAGGCCCCACAAAACTGAGATGCAGCCCTGTATACATATAAACAGAGTCCCTCACACCTGTTATAGCTCCCCTATGGTTTTAAACTCCCTGGGTGGTACAAACTGTTAACATATTTGGCTGTTAATCAAAAGGGTGGCAATCCAAGTCCACCCAGAGGTGTCTCAAAAGAAAGGCCTGGCAATCTACTTCCAAAAAATCAGCCATTGAAAACCCTAAGGATCACAGTTCTACTTTGACACACATGAGGTTGCCATGAGTCAGAGTCAACTCAATGGCAACTGGTCTGTTTTACAGTTTTAAAGCCAGTTCGTGACAGAGACTGCCAACTTTCATGAGAATTTAAAACTTCTTTTTAGTAACAGAAAACATATTTTAAAACATACCTAGAATGCAGTTTTAAAAACAGAAGTACAATATTGTTTTCTTATGCCTAAGTTTTTAGCTTTGTTTACGTAGAAATAACAATTCTATCGTGTGAAGTTTGAAAACTAATATTCAGAAAGGAGTATTTTCTTGTCATTATTAAAATTTGAGGTATATCTCCTGCCAGTTTTTCTCTAAATATACATCTTTGCTTTATTTTTAATTATCCAAATAATTTAGTAAGCTCTATGTTTTTTAAATATTAAAAACACTATAGATAAAACTAAAAATTGCCTTTGTCTAGTATCCTCAATCCTGGTTTCCCCCTCATTCTCTAGACGTAATACTATTAAAAGTTTGTCATGTATATTTTTAGCCTATTTTATATTCTTTCACATATATCTACATGTATTCATAGAAAATACATGGTATTGGTAATTGTTGCAGACAGGATCTATGCTAGAATTGGAGCCCTGGTGGCACAGTGATTAAGTGTTCGGCTACTAACCAAATGGTCGACAGTTCGAATCCACCAGCTGCTCCTTGGAAAGCCTATGGGGCAGTTCTGCTCTGTCCTATAGGGTCGCTATGAGTCAGAATCAACTCATCAGCAACGGGCTTGGTTTGGTGGTTTTTACGCTAGAATTAGCAAAGGTTTCAGAGAACAGAGATTTGTGTCGATTCAAACTACCTTCCCTAAAATATTTGTTGACTCTAGGAGGAATGGGAGTAACTTTATAGTAAAGCATCCTGAGAAGACCACCTTGATCAGGTGATCAAGGCCAGTATCACTAGTAAGAGCTTGTCCACATCATGATCCCCATGATATGATGCAGTGAGAGGGATGCAATTCTCGCCCGGGATAATGACCTCAGTACAATCATGAGACAGTACTACACAGGCTGAACTGAGGGACATTCAGTAAAATCACTGACCAATATTCTTCAAGAGTGTTAAGGTTATAAAAGAAAGAAAAGACTGAGGAATGGTTCCAGACTGCAGGAGACTAGGGAAAAATAACAACTAAACACAATGTGGGATCTTGATTGAGATCCTAGAACAAAAAAGGACATTAGTGGGAAAACTGTTGTTGTTGTTAGGTGCCGCTGAGCCAATTTCAACTCATAGCAACCCTATGTGACAGGGTAGAACTGTCCCATAGGATTTTCTAGGCTATAATTTTTGGAGGAGCAGATTGCCAGGTCTTTCTTCTGTGGAGCCACTGGGTGGGTTCCAACCTCAGATCTTTCATTAGCAGCCCAGCATTTAACCATTGCACCACTAGGGTGAAATTCAAACGAAGTGATTAGTTTGGTTAATTGCATTGAGCCAATGTTAATTTCCTGTAATTGAACCACAGGTACATAAACTGTTAACAAAGGGGGAAGTTGGGTGAGGGATATTTGGAAACTCTGGAGTATTTTACAGCTACTTTGTAAGTCTAAAAATAGATTTTAATAGGTTTAATAGGTTTTAAACAGAAAAATATATCGTACTATTTATATATTTTTCTAGAGATAGCATTAAAGTGCATGTTATTTGGCAAATCACTTTTTTTCCTCAATAATATATTTTTAAGACGTATCCAAGTGGACACACAGTTCAAATTCACTCCCATTAACTGATTAATTATATGAACATACTTCAGTTATCCTACTGATAAACATTTAGATTGTTTCCAATTTTCCATTATTTACAAACTATACAAACTATGTCACCATATGCATCTATATAAGAGTTTCTCTTATCAAGATATGGAACTGCTGGGTAATAGGATATATGTGATTTCACATTAATGAGTTACTATTAATTGCCCTGCAAAATAGCTATACCAGTTTATACTCCCATCAGCATTACATATGTACTGATTTCCCTACAATTTCATCAACAGTTAATCTGATGACTATTTTATTGTTGTCTTCACTGACATCTAATGAAAATGAGCATCTTCTCATTTTCATTATTGGTCTTTTTAATTCTTTTTGTGAGACGTGTTTCTGTGTATGATGTTTGCAACCTTCCTACCGGGCAGTTTTATTTTTTCTTATAGATTATACAAATTCTGGATACCAATCTGCTAAACTCATTTGTTGCTTATCATTTAACTTCCAAATAAGCAGTTTTGTTATGTAGAAGTTTTAAATTTTCAAGATGCCAAATCTTTTGTACCTTAATAAAGCCTTCCTTCTTTAAAGGAGTATTATTCCTTATTTTCTTTTAACAATTTTAATATTGTGTTTCTTTACAATGAGGATTTTGATTCATCTAGAATGTATCTGAGTAGGATAAGTAGTAGGGAATCTTCCCCCTTTCGATATTTAATTGATTCAATAGCATTTCCTCAATAATTTAGCCATTCCCCACAGATTTATAATGCTCGCTTTATCATACCCCAAGGAATGTTCCATTTTTATAAATCTTTTCTGTGTGTTTGAAAATAATATGCATTCTGGAAAAGTATAAATATAAATTGTAAAGTTTGAATGTTATATTTAAATAGTCCTTCCTCACTTAGTTTAATGGATATTCAATAAACACTGCTGTTTATCACTGATTTTGCCATGTGCTGGTGATTCTGTTGCCTACTGAACAGCAACCACAATTGCATTTATAATAACATGACCATTCTCTACTTTTTTTCTGTTTTCTTGCCATTTATTATAACACCCATGATACTGAATTGGATTTATTTGCTCACATGACTGTCTTCCACTCTAGAATTCTAGAATGTAAGCTTTCTAAAGCCATGGTCCAAGTCTCAATCTTTTCTGTAACTAGCACATTGCTTGGTACACAGTAGATGCTTAACAAGCATTTATCAAATTGTGATCCTTGTGCAGTACTTCGTAACATTGTTTTTGTTGTTGTTGTTGGTATGGATAACAAGGAGAAAGGGAAGGTAAGTCACAGGGTCACCCATTCCACTTCTTGTTCATGTTCCACCCTCGTTCTCAGAACACAGTCAAAAACAAAAAACAAAAGTCAGCCTGCTGTATGGAGTCACTATTATCTCTCTGTCATTTACAAATGTTACTCAAAAACCAAGCAAGTTTCAATACAGCTCTAAACTTTTAGGGAAAAAGAACACAGCATCAAGTGAGGGGGACAGGGAACAAATTTAGCCGTTGACCTTCTGCGATAGTTTTGCCTCTCTTCATTCATTCAACAAATATTTGGTCAGTTCCCAATATGTACATAGCAGAGTCTTAAGAACTGTGGGAAATGCAAGTCCCTTCCTTGATTTTGCCTTGAAAATTCAAAAAAAAGAGAGAGAAAGACCAAGAAAGAAAAAAAAAAAAAAAAAACCACGCAGCTTCTAGGAGAGATTGACAGCACATTTAGATTTGACCAGACATGAGAAATGATTCTTTGGGCTCTTGTTTTAAACAGAAACAAAGAACCATTTAACGACAGTAGGGACATTCTTATTTCCCAAAGGCCAAAGCAAATTCCTCTTCTGCCAAGGGCAAGTCATACCATACCTTCGATCCTTTCACATAGTTTATGCAGAGAGTGCATAGGGCATGCCTCACACAGCTTAATCTGGGTCTTGGCACTCTGCAGGGCAGCAGCCGTGCTGAAAGCCTGTTTCAGAGTCAGCATTACCTCATCAACCTACAAGAAAAAACAAAACTCAGGTCTAGAAAAGGTTGCTTTCATGGTAACACGTTAAAACCTCAACAGCAACGTAAGACTTTGCTGACACTAAAGAAATTAATAATAGAATTTTGATGATTAGAAAGCTGGCAGAAAGAAAATATTAAGTCTCGAAGCTAGGTCTTCTATATATATAACTGAAAGCTGGATGAAATAAGACCATTTTAATGTGTGTAACAGAATACTAATCTGTTATTTGAAGGCTACTTTCAAATGCCACTGAGTATTATCCACCACAGACAGTTTAATTAGTTGATCAGCTCTTTGTTTAATTAAGTGGTTTATCAGATAAATACCTGTCTGGAAATTTTGTCTGCTGTAACATATACGGAGCAACAAAATAGGTTCAACATTGACTTGTGTTAACAGGTGTCCTATTTGTAGTTTATTCTTCTGGATTATTTTTAGTGTTAAAACAAACAAAATGTATTTATGTTCTAGGGGAAAATGAGTTCAATTTAATTAAAAGGTGGAAAGTATATGAAGGTTGATGATCTTATCTACTTCCAAGTGGCTGCTAAGTTGTTATCATTCTACATATGATAAGAAGTGCTGACATGGTGTTGTCTAATAGCTGAGTCCCACCACTAGGCCACCAGCTTGAAAACTGCCATCTATCTCCTTTCTTCCTCTTCCACGACACGATCAAGAAGTTTGAATCTAAACTTCTAGTTTCCTGCTTGCTTCTCTGAAGTCAACTAATAGCTCATCTTCACACATTGTTAAATCTACTTCAGGTTGTGCCGCCCCATCTTCTCTGTAACACAATCACCAATGAAAAGGTGTGGTTTTTCCACACTCTGTAGGACTTAGATCAAATTTTAAAACCTGTATCGTGGAGCTTTGAAAAATTAAGGCCCTCCTCTGCACTAACTTTGATATTCAAAACCATTTACCACACTTGGTAAACAAAATTTTTTAGATTCTTTTTCTACTTTTCCTATGGCCTAGTAAAGAATAAGTTGTTATTTAAAATATTTAATCTACTTCTGGAGCCCTGGTGGCACAGTGGTTAAGAGACTGGCTGCTAACTAAAAGGTCAGCAGTTCAAATCCACCAGCCACTCCCTGGAAACGCTATGGGGCAGTTCTACTCTGTCCAATCAAGTAGCTATGAGTTGGAATCGACTTGATGGCAATGGGTTAATCTACTTCTGCATTCGAATGTGCAAGGAATATAGAATAAAAAGAAACTTTACTCTTCCAATATTACTGAAAGGAGAATATCCAACACTAAGCAGTCAGCCATTATTCAGTTGACTTTAATTACATTACCAATCTAAAAAAAGGCTGATAAATAATTTCACATCGTTCTATGAATAAAAATAAATTATTCATAAAATCTGTGATTTTGTGGTTTATTTTTTTAAAAAGAATTGCTGATAATTAAAAATAAAAGCACTGCATGCTCAATGCCTTAGTATTTTGATTTCATTTGCCTTGTTATGTATTCAAAAGTAATTTTAATTACTCAGGGAGATGACATTTATTTCTATTTTCTTGTTTCTCATTTTAAGGCACTTAAAGGGTTAGTCATTTTGTTTAGCAGTATAAATAGCTTTCATATGCGTTTATTTGTTATTTAATAATACTGCCTTGTAGAAGGTCTCCAGAGGAAATACTGAACTCTCAAGTTTTCTTCTCTATTTTGAAGTGAAACAAGGAGCCATTTCAGTGGTGTCCCCCATGTGACTACCAACTTCTCTCGGTCACAAATATTACTAAAACCTTTATTTGACTTCTAAAAGGTTAAGTGTTTTAATTTTTAAAACCTGTCACTCTTGGCATCTGGGGTCTTAAAAGCTAGCAAGCAGCCATCTAAGATGCATCAGTTGGTCCCAACCACCTGGAGCAAAGGAGAATGAAGAACACCAAAGTCACAAGGAAACTATTAGCCCAAGAGACAGAAAGGGCCACATAAACCAGAGACTGCATCAGCCTGAGACCAGAAGAAATAAATCGTGCCCAGCTACCACCAATAACCGCGCTGACAGGGAGCACAACAGAAAGTCCCTGATAGAGCAGGAGAAAAGTGGGGTGCAGAACTCAAATTCTGGTAAAAAGACCAAACTAAATGGTCTGAGACTGGAAGAACCCCAGAAAGCATAGCCCCCAGACTCTCTGTCAACCCAGCACTAAAACCATTCCTGAGGCCAACTCTTCAGACAAAGATTAGACTGGACTATAAGACATAAAATGATACTCGTGAAGAGTGTGCTTCTTAGCTCAAGTAGATACATGAGACTAAATGGGCAGCTCCCGTCTGGAGGTGAGATGAGAAGGCAGAGAAGGTCAGGAGCTGGCTGAATGAACATAGGAAATCAGGGGTGGAAAGGAAGAAGGTGCTGTCACAGTATAGGGAGAGCAATCAGGGTCACATAACAATGTATGTATAAATTTCTGTATGAGAGACTAATTTGAATTGTAAACTTTCACTTAAAGTACAACAATTAAACAGAAAAAAAAAAACTGTCACTCTTTTTAGATGGCCTATAAATTCTATCATGGAATCAAGGCAACATAAAGTTCAAAATAATGCACTATGAATACTTAATTATTTTAGTCTAGATAAAAAAAAAAAAATCACAGGTCATGTCAAAAGGTTTAAAGCAAAGGAATGGGCAAAGATAAATCAATCATATTCAGACAGAAAGAAGTATTCTTGACATTACCATTAGACTCCCTAGTAAAATGCATCAATTAGGACAAAGGCCAACTTATGACTTTAAGGGGAAAATTCATAAAGAAAACAATACTCATGAACATTTTACACCAAATTTAGGTATTTCTATAGCATCTTAGAAGAGGTCTAAGAACCAGAGAATGTGTAAAAACTTTACAAGAGTAGCTACTCAAGGTCTCTGGGGAATTTTAGCACTCAAATCATCCAAGAAAGAATGTAATTAATCCTATTCTTAACAGCTGTTAACAAGGAGACAATAATCTATTTATTCCCGTGGTTAATCGCCCACACACTGACGTGCTCTCTATATTTGTTGGACTTTACAACACTTCCAAGATTCTATGATATAAATTCTTCAGTACTCACTTGTCTAAAGTTACGTTGCAGTGCAATTAATGACTTTTGTGTGTGGCCTTTCTAGCCATGGTCTTGTGACTCCCACCCAGATGATTGGGTGGGGCAGTGCAAATAAGATAATTGTGGCCCACTGAGGGGACTGGTCAGTTTTGCCTTAAAAGAGAGCCAATTCCAGAGCAGAGAGGAGAGCCCACCACCACCAAAGGAGGAGAGACCTGCAGCAGAGACCAGCAGGAACAGGAAAGCTGAGTGCCTTTGGCAGAGACAGAGGGCCAGGAAGAAGTCTGTGCTGACCCAGAATTTGGGACTTACCAGCCTCCACAACCCCGTGAGCCATTTCCTTTACATGGTTCATGAAGTCAGTGAGACGTTGGTGCAAATTAGGGAACCAAAGACAGGAGGGAGAGTACTGAGGCAAAAGGGAGTAGTTGATGTTAGAGATGGTGGAGTGGTACAGCAGCTTGGAAAAGTTAGACATTTGGGACATCTTTAACTTCCACCTCATAGGAGCAGCTTTGTGCTGATCCTTATAAAAGAAATTACTCATTAATATGCCCTATACGTTTTGTTCCTAGGTTAAATGACTCCACTTACTTCAATTTTTCCCAAATGAGAAACTTTTCATAGATTACTGCTCTCTCTAAAACATCTGCAACTTTCTTCATCTCTTAAAATGTAGATACCAAACCTGAACTTGTCTCATTCACCCACTTATCCTCCTTACACTGCTTGGTCATTAATGGTTAGAGATCTAGTTTAAGAGTATAATCAACACAAGATACAAGAAAAAGATAACTTTCTAGACTTTGAACCTCATTTTTCTATCAGTGCACTCTAGGACCATGCTTCTTTCATTAACTATTAGCCCCACACTATTCATGTAAATCCTGAGACTTGGGTATTGTTTCTGTTAGCTATCGTCAAGTGGGCCCCTGACTCATGGTAATCCCATGCACAATGGAACAAAATGCTGCCCGGTCCTACACCATCCCCATGATCAGTTATGGATCGGACCACGGTGATCCATTGGGTTTTCACTGGATGATTTTCAGAATTAGATTGCCAGGCCTTTCTTCCTAGTACCTCTTAGTCTGGAAGCTCCACTGAAACCTGTTCAGCATCATAGCAGCACACTTCCACTGACAGAGAGGTGGTGGCTGCACCTAAGGAGCATTAGCTGGAAACTGAACCCAGGTCTTGGCATAGAAGGTGAGAATTCCACCAACTGAACCAGTATCCTGGGTCTTCTGTTTCCTTCAGCGGAATATTTGCCAACTTTTTGTCTGCATCTGTGGATTATATTTTTTATTTGTCTAAGTACTAATAACTTGAGCTTTTTTCACATCTTTCAAACCAATTTTGGAAAAGGCATTTTTAAGAAAGGATAGTTCCTACAGATCTCAAGGGTTGATTAAACAAGATTAAGGGACCTACCTACAATTGTTAAAAGAATTTTTTTAGGTATCTAAACTTCCTGTGTAATCCTCCAGGGCCTATCTGAAACACTTATAAATTCATAGCAAATGCATTTAATAACATGCTACAAAGAAGTAAAACAAAATGCTAATTTTGTATTCTTTGCTCAGAGAAGATAGGTCAGCATGTGTGGTTTGCAATACCTTCTCTTACACAACTGCCAAGGCCACATCAATAATACTACTTAGACCTACAATATTTAATTGATTACTTGGTTTTTGTTCTCTATGTCAGTTGCTTAAGCCATCCTCTACTACGTGGGAAACTGACATTTAATTTTTCTTCTAGCTTCTAGCTCTCATGCCTCACTATTCAGTTAAGAGGTTTTCTGATGATATTAGAGTAAACCAGGCTTTAACAATACTAGCAGGGGCCTGTCCTTAAGAATAACGGTGCCAAAACTGACATGCTGATACAACCTCAGTGTAATAGGAAGACATTCACAGCCAGTCTAGTCTGTTGCCTTAGACACAGAGCTTTTTAAGGGAGGAAAAATGCAGCATGTTCCCACACTTTGTACCACGATTCCCTGCTTCAAAACTCATTCTACATGCCTAAAGGCTAAACAAAAGTAAAAAAAAAAAAAGAAAATTAAAAACTAAAAACAAAACCTGTAAAAGAGATTGGAAATAAGAAGGGTTTTCATAAGTCTTCCTTTTGGTGCAGGTGATCCAGTTACCAAAGATTATAACCACCACCTAGAAAATGATCACCTGAAGTTAAGGGTAATGCATTCAATTCCATCATTCAAAATACACTTATCAAGCACCTGCTATCCTAGAAACACACTGTGTAGGTATAACACAAATAAGACACGGTCCCAGCCTTGTGAAATTGACTACCTACTGGAGTAGATGGTTTGTAAATAGAACAATTAGTGTGGGGATTGGTACATACTATTTACCACCTACGAACCAGGTGTGGTAAAAGCACCGAGGATAGAGAAACTAAAGGAAGTCAGTCATGAACTGAAGGAGTCAGGAAAGGCTTCAACAGAATGTCATATTTAAGCTGGATCCTGAAAATTATGTGGGAGAAAAAAAGGGGGAGGGGATTCCAGTCAACGAGGCACTAAGAAAGAGAATGTGAAAGCAGATTAACTAAAGCACTGAACATTTGCCGTGTTCAGTACCAAGGGACCCTTGAGGCTGACATGACCCCTCCCTAGCCTGACAGTATAAAAGGTTCTGTTCTCCTCTGCCATGGTGGACTCCTCACTCTGCATAGCAAACAATAACTTCTGAACTTCAGCTGCACCTCTGTGAGCAACACAGGGCTTCAGAGAGCTGCTTGCTGTTGTTGTTGTTAGGTGCCGTTGAGTCAATTTCGACTCACAGTGACCCCATGTGACAGAGTAGAATGGCCCCGTAGGGTTTTCTAGGCTGAGCCCTGATGGCGCAGTGGTTAAGAGCTCGGCTACTAACCAAAAGGGTGGCAGTTCGAATCCAACAGCCACTCTTTGGAAACCCTATGGGGAAATTCCACTCTGTCCTATAGGGTTGCTATGAGTCAGAATCATCTCGATGGCAATGGATGTGTGTGGTGTAATCTTTACAAAAGCAGATCTCGAGGAGCAGCTGGGTGGGTTCGAACCACCAACCTTCAGTTAGTGGTCAAGCACTTAACCATTGCACCAGCAGGGCTCCTTTCAGACAGCTGTAGTTACTCATTTATAGCCTTGATTTGTGTGTCCCATGCACTAATCACTTGCTGGTTCTGCACTAAACCAAGATAAAAGCACCGTCACATCAATCTTCAAACTAGTGTTTGTGGTCTGGCTAGATAACAGTAGGTGAGATGGAATAACAAGCACAAGGACACGGTCATGAAAGGGTGTGGCATTCAGGTCTCAGTACGGAGCAGCAATAGTGAGACTGGGGCAGAATGTACAAGACCTGACTTCTACGCTAGGAGGTCTGGATTTTATTCTTTAAATAATAAGGCATGAACAGGTCAGGAAACTTTTTGAGAAATAAAATTCTAGCATAATATAGAAAATGGATAAATGAGAGATTAAACCAGTGGCAGGGAAACTTTCTAGGATACTAACAGTGTACTCCAAGTAAACAAGATGAATGCCCAGAATCGAGTTGCTGATAAAGAGGAAGAGAAGGAAAAAAAGAATATGAGAGACACTTGTAACTTTGAGTCAATAGGATTTGGTGAACAACTGGATAGTGGAGGTGAAAGAGAATGCATTATGGTTTCAAAATTGGGTAGTTGGTAGACTGTGCTACCAAATTAAAAATTATGGAATCAAGAGTTAGTTCTAGAAAGGTAGGAGAGTAAGGGTTCCAGAACACAGTAGAATGTAGTATCAGCAGAATGAAGAACATAAAAGAATGGGTCTTAAATAGGAGAAGGGACAGAGGAGAGAAGAAGTGAGGTATAGACCAGGAAGAGGATGACATGTGTGGCAGAATATCCTAGATAAATCTTTACTATCTCTTAATGGTTAGTATTTTCCATTGTTCTCTCATTGGTTCTCTTTGGCTTTCTTTCTCTTTCCTCCCCATGAAAGCCATGGACTCCCATGGCTTCAACTATCATTTATATGATGACTATTCTCAAATTTCTCTCTCCAGTCCTGAAATGAATCTATTAGGCAGTGGTTCCTTATATGGGATATTAACATGTGGACATTTCATAGGTATGGTTATTTATCTCGAGTGAGAATGAGACTCAAACAGAACTCTCCAGAGTGGCAAATTGTTAGTGATGGGAGTAATATATTCTCCAGAGAAAAAAGGTGAGAACTGGAAAGCACTAGTCAAAAAGAGCCTTTGTACCAATTCACTTCCACTTCTTCATTATTCTTCACTGCACACTGTCAACATGGGAATATGAAAGGCAGCAATTAAGCAGAGATGACCACAATATGCTGTCTTTGTAACATGCATGGAAACAAGGAGAATGCTGACTGGATTATCTGTATATGTCTAAGTTGTGTGTGGAGTCCCTGAGTTGCTAACCAAAAGGCTGGACATTTAAGTCTACTCAGAGGTGCCTTAGAAGAAAGGCCTGGCTCTCTACTCCGGCCACGGAAAGCCCTAAGGAGCACAGTTCTACTCTGACACACATGGGGTGACCATGAGTTAGAGGTCAAGTTGATAGCAACTGGTTAAGTTGTATTTCTCTGGGCGAAAGGACTGTGGGAGGATTACGTGTCTAAGGAAATATTTTTCGGTAAATCTCTTCAAAGAATGGTGATGTAAACATCTAAAGGTTTTTGTTAAAATGGTTAGCAGAGATAGACAAGTGGAAAAAATAAGTAAACACCAAAGTGAAAAGAAAAATCAACCTATTTTTAGTCACCCAGATATATTTCCAAGCCTGTCTTACATAATTTCCTCTCAACTCCAACTCCATTAAAGTGAGTGGAGGGTGGTACTGCAGAAAAGAATTGACTTTTAAATTTCAAAGCAAGAAAAGGAGGCTTATAATAAGGTCATAAAAAATATTAAAATTCTGACAACTAGGGAGAATCAAGGAAAAACACAAAAATAGTTTTCTACTCTGCTGATGTGAGCGTTATCTCTGAGGTATTATAGGAATTAAAGAAAAAAAAGTCAATGGCCTTCCTTATCTTCTTACACAAGTAATGAAAAAAGTAACAGCTTTTTTTCTTATTATTAGGTTTTTCCTACCTTTGTAAAATACTTACGGTAACATGATTGGATTTTTTAAGCACAATAAACTATCTAGACTTAAAAAGTATAGTTTCCATTTATTTTTGTTTTTCCATTGTTGTGCTGCTTTGAAGGGAAAAAAAATATTTCAGCGGCCTTCTTCTCCCCGACTGATAACCGTTTTACCAGGACTGGGCCCCTAAGAGTTGAGTCTTCTCGTAGACTGATTCATCGGCAAGAGGACATGCACAACAATAACACTGCTTACCAGGGATTCACTTGCACACTGGAACACATAACAAACATACTGGCTCAGCCCAGGCTCTGGAGACTCCCGGCAGATAAATCCAAAGTGATCCACATGCTTTATACCCTAGAGTAGGGAAAGAATTGCAATATTTCTAAGAATATGTCCCTTTAGTCAATATGAAATCAGCATCAGTTTTATGCTTTCACAGTCCCACAAATTTTTCCTGCACAGCACTGTGACAGAGGACATAATATCATAGCAAAGTTACATGGTGGCCTCTTAATACATAAAATAGAGAATGAGATCAATTCAGATTGTTTTGTTTCTGACAAACACTCTGTGACTCAGGGCCACAGGAGGAAAATATGGATGGCATGATCTGCTATATCTTGTAATAAAACCTCTTCCAGTCTTTGGAAATAATGAGCTCTCAATTTATTGGTCTTCTCAGAACAGGCAGCCTATGATTCATCATAAGCCCTGTTCTTGTCTATGTGAGGATAACAATCGGAGAGAAACTAACACTGACAATGCTCTAATTAAATAGCCTGCAACTCCCTAAAGGTATGCTGTTATGCACCGAATTTCGCGCCCCCAAAATATGTGCTGTAAATCCTAACCTCTAAACCTGTGGTTATAATCCCATCTGGGAACAGTTTGTCTGTTATGTTAATGAGGCAGGATTAGTATAGGGTACACCTTCAGTCGCTCTCCATCTGGTACAGCTCATTAGTGACTAAAGAATGGTTTTCACTAGCTTAGTACTAAAAGGGAAAAATTCATAGGAGCTCATTAGCTAAGCGATTCTTCAGACAGTGGTGATGTTTTTAGTAAAGAAAACTACTTTTATAGTCCCCATTCTTGCCAGAAGAACAGTCCTACAGATTTTAAAGAAAGAAACGTTTGTAGGTGTACATATGTGCGTGCAGAGGTACGCTTTAGTCTGTAAGGTGTGCTTATGTTTAAAAGCACGCCTGTTTCTGGATGCGGCCTCATCTTCTCAGTTCGGTCCTAAAGACAGTGGAATAAAGAAGAGAGTGGAAAGGAATAAAAGCAGACATTCAGCGAAGAACAGATGATAAATCTGACAATTATCCTGATCAAAGGCCTTCTGCAAATATTCCTCATGCTTTTAATTCTTTTTCTGAACCAAAATATCAGAATACAAATCTCACCTACAAAAAAATAAAAACTACAAAAGCAAAAATCATGTTTGAACTGCCCATTTCACGTGGTTTATTGGGGTTCTTTTTTTTTTTTTTTTGCTTTCTCTCTCCCTTTTTTTGCATGTTCGATGAGTATTGCTAATTTTCTTACTGAGAGGCTTGAGGAGTATGGATTCTTGGTGCTCTGGGAGGCAGGAATTATACCTGGTTTGTATACTGCTCTCTGCCCAGTACTTAGCACAGAGCCCGACATGTAGAAATTGCTCATTAATTCAGCGTATACTGAACACCTACCTATATGTTAAGCTCTGTCTTAATCCATCTGATTCTGATGCCTCACAGAATACACCACCATACCATCTCTGCCCCCACAGAGCTCACAGTCTTGCAGGGATCAATAGTAAATAGGTAATTACAAGAATGCTTAACCAATATTTGTTTCACTAAAGTGAATAATCTTTCTAACAAATCTCTCGGTCCTTTAAATAGGGAGAGGTTTCCTATCCTTTAGAAAACTGCAACAGACTCTTCCTACCTTCCGATTCTGCCACTCCCTACAATTATTAGAGTAGAAAACTTGTATCCATACAATGTAATTTTACGTCTCCATATGATATTAAAAAATATTAAAATAAACATTATGAGTGAAATTGCACTAGCTAAGGCTGAGGAAAACAATTAAGAAGATGTACAAAATCTCTCCCGTTATTTTCAAATGGAAGGATGTCCGAATATGGCAATGCTAACTCCAAAATTCATAAAAATAAAAATAACAGGCAATCATGATTTTTCAACAGTAAAATACAAAAGAGATGTTGACAAGGTCCATTTCCTTGAAGGTGTTTCTAAATCACTGCTCAGAAAGAAGTCAATTCTTCTCAATTCCAGGGACCTCCCCAAAAGTATCTTTGCATTTTTTTCTAACCTTCCCACATTTAGATTTAACTACTCCCTCTATTCTGACTTCTCTAAAAAGTCTTCCTATATTTAGAATCTATTTATGGAGCTCTAACTAACCTCAACATCAAGAAAACAAAAATCCTCACAACTGGACAAATAAGCAATATCATGATAAACAGAGAAAATACTGACATAAAGAATTTCATTTTACTTGGATCCAAAATCAAGGCCCAGGGAAGCAGCAGTCAAAAAGTCAAATGACATATTGCATTGCGTAAATCTGCTGCAAAAGACTTCTTTAGAGTATTGAAAAGCAAAGATGTCAGTTTGAGAACTAAGGTGTGCCTGACCCAAGCCATAATATTTTCAATTGCTTCATATGCATGCGACAATAAATAAGGAAGACCAAGGAAGAATTGACGCCTTTGAACTGTGGTGTTGGAGAAGAATATTGAATATACCATGGAGTGCCAAAAGAACGAACAAATCTGTCTTGGAAGAAGTACAACCAGAATGCTCCTTAGAAGCAAGGATGGCGAGACTATGTCTCACATACTTTGGACCTGTTATCAGGAGGGACCAGTCCCTGGAGAAGGACGTCATGCTTGGTAAGGTAGAGGGTCAGTGAAAAAGGTGAAGACCCTCCATGAGATGGATTGACACCGTGGCTGCAACAGTGGGCTCAAACATAGCAACGACTGTAAGGATGGCACAGGACTGGGCAGTGTTTCGTTCTGTTGTACATAGGGTCGCTATGAGTCAGAATCTACTTGATGGTACCTAACAACAACTTTTGCATAGATTTTCTAAATAATTACTGTTTCTTAGGACACTAGTTTATGCCTAGTATTATAATCTTGTACACATTTATCCATATCCATTCTACATAAACATTCAACTACACTGTCATGAATTAAAAAATAAATGAACAGAAATATACTAAGAAGTAAAAATTTTAACATTTACATTAGTATAAATTGAAAACACTAGTTCTCCTTTTACTATCTATTGTGGTATAATGAGCAAACCTCACTTGATTACACTCACAAGTTCCAATGCCCAAGATTCTGAGGAACACTAAGTGTGAGGGAATTTTCAAAAGAACTCACCACCACAAAAATTCCATCAGTAGCCCAAATCTGATGAAGTGACGCTACAAAGAGAAAGAGTTGATGACAATGAAGGCAAACAATTATGGTAGACACTGTGGGACCTGGATGTGATTTGTGTTACTAGCAAAAACACAGGAGTCCTCTTAGTTTAAAATAGATTCTCCTCTTTAAAACAAAAGAGAACTACAATTCCCAGGAGTTTTAGCACAGTTATTTTGTGGTTAATTTAGAAATAAGATTTAGTTGGTTTGTTAATACGCTATCATATACTTCAATACATACCTGAGAACAAGAGGAGACATCTTTAAAATTCTTTTCAAGCACAACCGATTTAGTGTCTGGACTGATAAGGTTAATCTCAAATCGTCCAACCTTGAAAATAAAGACATTTCAATTAATTTAAATTGACAAGAGCCTAGCATGTTGTTTCACACTTCAATAACAGAGATTCAAATAGATATACCCCAGATATATCAATATCTATTCACAGATGCTCCAACATCCAGTCCAACCAATATTTCAACTTTAAACATGAGCTGCTTCAAAATATTTCTTCCCTTATGCTTAAAAATTATGAAAATTAAGTTAGTCTTAATTTACAAGATACAAGAAACGAATTTTCTTCTGATTAGAAGATTGTCTTTCAAAAAAATATGAAACCTTTTTTCACTTCATGATTTCTAAAAAGTACCAATTACTTATTTATACTTTATAGTCATATTTTCTCTGAAATGGTCATATATGGAACTGGGCTGATAAATTAAAAGTTTTAAAAATAAACAATCATTCAGAAAAATTAACAGCAAAGGACTGTGACTAGCTAAGAAAAAAGATAAATCTGATACCCTAAATAAGAGGGAAAATCAATTTACGTATGTCCAAAGAAAAGAATACAGATCCTTTAATTACATGCCTAGAAGTTAAAAAAAAGAAGTTCATCTGATAAATTCCAATAAAGCAAATATTACACACTGGAACTGTTTATCAAGGTAAGCTGTGGAATTTCCTTCTCAGGGGTTCTTTAAAAGAGGATAAAAGGACAGCCACTCATTTGTTCAAGAGAACGCACGTCTTACCAGCTGAGGATTAATTAAAGAAACTCCACAGGTCAATGTTACAAATTAAATTCTTTTCAGTGAAACTTGACATTTTCTATATCTTGTGTAGTATTCAAAAATTACTTTTTTAGAATTAAGAATGCTCTTTTACACCTATAATATAGCTTGCACCAAATTATTTTATTAACTAATCTAGTAAACTATCAGGCCAACAGTGTTTCTTTCACCTTTCCTTTTGTTTGACAGGGTAAATTAGGCAAAATTAGGCAAAACATAAGGCAAAATGCAGATGATAGATACCAAGAGTAATCTTCTACTCTTGTTCTTTTCCCCATGTTTTTATGATGCTCCTTTAACTGCTTCTCCCTGCCCTGATCCACTAGTTCTTACAATCCACTCCATGTCTGCCTCAACCCCTTCTCCACTTCCCTTTGCTCTGTTTCTCTATCTGCCTTACCTGCTTTTGAGGATGAAAGAAATAAAAGTGAGATTATTTAGGTATCTATAGATGGTCACTGGAGGTAAGCAAAACGAGGAACTGGAAGGAGGTGGCCACCAGCTGCTTCTGTCTAACAATTCAAGATGAAATTCCCCAAAAGCACCCTGCTGGGCCAAGTACCTACCTGAAAGAGCATTGTTCTGTTCTTGTCTGAATCCGAGGGCTGAACGTGACTGGGAGCACTGGCATGCCTCCTTCGTGGCTGTGCTTTCTGGCTATTCTCGTGAACTTTCCTTTGCATGACTCCAGTGACACTGCTGCATCGAGACCGGAACTCCTGCTGCTCATCAAAGCCAGAATCTTCCAAGATCCGCTCAGGGAAGCAGACTCGAGAGCTGAACAGAGCAGGCTGGCTGGCCACGGTGGGTAAGCCAGAGTGGGTATTGGGGATGCCATCTATTTCCTCCAACAGGCTGTCTCTGGGTGAGCTAGGCACCTCGGCCTCCAAGACCACCAAGTCGTCGCTGGGATCCGTGCTCCGCTGCTCACCCTGGATCTTGAGGCGCTGCTGTTCGTGCAGGCTGAACTTTTCAATGCAGTCGTCAATGAGGCTTGACGGGACCTTCTTGTGGGTGACTGTCACCTTTCCACAGTACAAGACTTCAAACTTCTGAGAGTTGTAAAAGGCATCTTCATTATCTCTGCTGGGCTTGGCATCCTCTTTCATGGCAGCTTTAGACAACTGCCTTATGCTGCTGATAACATCAGGAACCTGTGGGCAGGGGATAAAAAAATTTCTATTTTAGCTAAATATACAGAAATAATTTATGCTCATCTGTCCTGATATTATCACATAGAATATGATAATATAAATAAAATATAAAAAAAGAATACAGAAAGTTACAGCCAGTCCCTGCCCAAGATAAAACATAAAACTTAAAATACACTCTCTGACATAAGTGCTTAGAAGGAAGAGCTGATGTTCAATGATAGCAGTATTACGCCTTCCTATTTTAAATTTATTAGTTTCCCAAGAACAAAAACCATTAGATTGATATCACTCTTTAATAAACCACAATATGTCTTTTTAGTATTTTTAAAAGCTATTATGAACTTCAGCTGAAAGGATTTAAAGTTCAAATATAATGATAAAATATACCTTCTGAATAAAGAGAATAAAATTCAGACACCCCTCAGCAGCATTAGCAGTCAGGGAAATGCAAAGGAAAACCACAATGAGATACCACTATACACCAAGGAGAATGGCTAACATCAAAAAGACCAAGCTTTGTGGTTTTCATTCGCCCAGGGTTGTGGAGCAACCAGAACACTCTTATTCACTGTAGATGGGAATGTAAAATGGCACAACTGCTTTAGAAAACTAATAGCTTCTTAGAAAGTTAAACATAAATCTGTGTCATGACCCAGACATTTCACTCGTAAGTTATAACAAAAGATCTGAAAACAAATGTCCACACGAAGACTTATACGCAAAAGTTCATAGCAACTTTTATCACAATAGCCTGTCCTATGAAAAAAAATGGAAACAACACAAATGCCCATCAACGGGTGAAAAGATAAAATACATTAATGAAACGTACTCATCGCCTCTCACTTTGATTACGATAGCCTCATAATTGTTTTTCCTTTCCCCTTCAATCTACCGTTGAAAGCTAGAATGATCCTTTCAAACTTAAGTCATGTTGTTGCTGGGTACCGTCGAGTCTATCCCAACTCATAGCAATGCCATGTCACAGAGTAGAACTGCCCCATAGAGTTTTCTTGGCTGTAATTCTTATGGGAGCAGATTGCCAGGTCTTTCTGCCTTGGAGCCACCAGGTGGGTTTGAACCGTCAACCTTTTGATTAACCATTGCGCTACCAGGGCTCCTTTAAGTCATATTACTCAACTGCAAACCCTCCAATAGATCTCCATTTTATTAAGAGCAAAAGGAAAGATCCTTACAACATCCTACAAGGCCTTCACCTTCTGCACGTTACATACAGATTAAATTTGCACTGTGGCTACAAAGGAGCCCTGGTGGCACAGTGGTTAAGAGCTTGGCTGTTAATCAAAAGGTTGGCAGTCTGAATACACCAGAAGCTCCTTGGAAACCCTGTGAGGCAGTTCTACCTTGTTGTTTAGTATCGCTATGTGTCAGAATCGACAACAGCAACAGGTTTGGATGTTTTTGGTTTTATGGTTACACATTCTCCACTATAGCCTTTAGATGCCTGGATTTTCATCTTCACCTAATTTCCTCTGACCTTATCTCCTTCTTAGCTCCCTCTCACCGGCTCTGCTCCAGTCACACTGACCTCCTTGCTAGCATGGCTTTTCCTAGATGCCTGCGTGGCTCACTCTTTCACCTCATTTAAACCCTTGCTCTAATGTCACTTTAAGGTCCCCAGGAAACCCTATGGGGCAGCTCTACTCTGTCCCGTAGGGTCACTATGAGTCGGAATCAACTCAATGGCAATGGGTTTTTTGTTTAGGTGGCACAAAAGCAGCCCTGGTGGCACAGTGGTTAAGCGCTTGGCTGAGAACCAAAAAGGCTGGTGGTTCCAAACCCACCAGCAGAACCCTCCTCCTCCCACCGCCCATCACACACACACATACGCACATAAACAAACACACACAGCATTCCCCTGGATTTCTCCCTGCTTTACAGTTCACCATAGCACTTACCACCTTTGACATTCTGTGTAATTTATTTATTATGTAAGCTAGAACGTAAGCTCTAAGAGGGCGGTGATTTTTTATCTTTTTTTTTTTTTTTCCACTGTTACATCGCCAGGGCTTAGAGTAATTCCTGGTACATAGTAGATTCTCAAGATACGGGTTGGCCAAAAAATCTGTTCTGGTGATTTTTATCTTTGGGAAAAAGAGAAGATCATCTTATATTCAGGGAATGCTTTGTATTCACATATAAATGGTGTACCTTCAAATCTCTTAGCACAGCACTAATTCTGAAAACAAAATTTCTTCTACTTCACATAATTACTTGACATACATTACCAAAGAATTCATAAGAATTTCAGGTTTTGAGTCAAAGGATTTCCTCTGAGAGACTAAAGTCCAAAAACACGTCTCAGGGGAAAAGTCAGGCGTTTCGTACTAACTCATGACCAGCAACCTCAGCTATTATTTTCTCTTTGCCGTAGTATGTGGCTTACCCTACCTAACAAAGGTCAAAGCTATGGAAAGTGAGCTGGCTGACACTCAACCTGCAACAAGATAAATGGTTCCCGTGGGCTGGGCAAAGCCCTTAGATAAAATGATCCCTTCTTCCTCACTAACTGTATTTTATCAAATACTTCTCATCTGATTTTGTAACCCAAGTGCCCCTAAATTTCCAGATTTGTCTCTCTAGAGCGAAGAAAGAGAAATATTACCTGTACGATTTATTTTTACCCATAGAATTTTTATCTTCTTACAAATATTTAAGTGCTTTTGGTGCCATGTTAAGGAGCCCTGGTGGCACAGTGATTAAGCACTCGGCTACTCACTGAAAGGTCAGTTGTTCGAACTCACCAGCTGCTCAGCAGGAGAAAGACCTGGCAATCTGCTTCCATAAAAATTACAGCCTAGGAAACCCTATGGGACAGTTCTACTCTGTCCTATAGGGTCACTATGAGTCAGAATCAACTCAAAGGCACCAGGTTTGGTTTTTTGGTTTGGTGCTACGTTAGAGTTATTCTACAATTGGGACTGGAAATACAATCAATTCAACCTTAAGTGTATCAGTCTTCTGTATTACATGTTTGTCCTTTTTTCTACCATTATATTGACAGCTCGTAAGTGAAGATTTGATTGGTCACAGAATTTTTACAGTTCCACAGGACACTATACTGTGACCACAGGTAAAGTTTCAACATGTAAAACTCATTCAGTGAATGACCCAATATTTGTTATAAGCAAAGCTTATCATCTTGAATTCTGAACCCACAGTTTTGGGGGCTAGAGTCTGAAATCAAGGTGTTGGCCAGGCCATGCTTCCTCTAAAGGCTCTAGGGAAGAATGCTTTCTTGCCTCTTCTAGCTTCTAGTGGCTGCCAGCAATCCTTAATGTTCCATGGCTTGAGGCAGCATAATTTCAATCTCTGCCTCTGTCTTCACATGGCTATCTTCGCTCTGAGTCTGTCTCTGTGTCCATACTTCTCTCTTCTTATATGGACACCAACCAGTATGACCGCATCTTAACTTGATTACATCTGCAAAGATCCTATTTCCAAGTAAGGTCATACTCACAGATACTGGGGTGTTAGGACTTGAACATATCTTTTGAGGGTACACAAACTCTCAATACTGTGTAGGTAATTTAATCGTCCAGTAATTCGAAGTGTTAACTTTACACCATAAAACAGACAAAGATTCTCATTGCCTTTAATACCTTCTCTCTGGTTATGGCTAACCCAACTTTCAGTGACCTGGGCTGCAGAGACTCATAACTGCAAAATTGATCTAACAACATTAAGCTCTGTTTTTGCTTATCATTATGTGGAAGACACAGTATAAAATTTAGCATTATACAGCCCCCACCTACAGACTTAGAGCCTACCGCAGAAGGCACACACTGATAAAGCAAGGATTGTAAAATATCCATAGTGGGGAAATGAGTTATCAGGGAACCATAAAGAATTTTTATTCTGGCTTTATTTAAGGGATCAATCAGAAGCAACATAAAAGGAATAAAATGTCTAACCAGGACTTGCTCATACACACAATAGTCTGGAGTAATAGCATTCTCCTACTGCACAGTGTTAACTGACATATATGTGTTCATAGATCTACAAATGTTTTTGAATGAATTTAAATCTTCCTTGCATGTATTGCATCCTCTCAACACCTCTTTTTTCCTCTACCATTATACTGAGCGCTTAAGTGAAACACTGAGTTGAGGTGATTATATGTCTTACTAGAGCTCTTCCCTGTGACCCCTGGGAAAGTGTCTGTTCTCACAAGTAACTAAGTGAGTGCTATCAGCAAATACAAGTACGAATTGCCATCAAGGCAATTCAGACTCATGGCGACCCCACATGTGCCTGAGTAGATCTGTGTACCACAGGGTTTTCAGGGGCTTATTTTTTGGAAGTAGACTGCTAGGCCTTTCTTCTGAGGCGTCTCTGGGTAGACTGGAACCTCCAACCATTCAGTTAGCAGCTGAGCACGTTAACATTTTGCACCACCCAGGGACTTCAGGGGCATATTAATAGCAGTGAACAACTACCTAGAACTCTGATGAAAGTTCTCCGAGACTGAGAAAGGTTTAGTAAATTCCTGTTGATCATTCAAGAGACGTGGCATCCCTAAAAACGGAGAGCTATGGCTTCTCACTCCACTCACCACTCACCCCAACTAGGAAGTGGTTGTTATTTCAGGAATGTCTCCAAATGCTATGGAACACCTCAAGTTACATACTCTAGCTTAGTATTCGTATAGTTAAGTATTCTAGTTCTGCATACTCTACCAAAAAACCAAAACCAAACCCATTGCCGTTGAGTCGATTCTGACTCATTGCAACCCCATGAGACATAGTAGAACTGCCCCGATATGGTTTCCAAGGAACGCCTGGTAGATTCGAACCGCTGACCTTTTTGGTTAGCAGCCACAGCTTTTAACAACTACACGACCAGGGTTTCCCTGCGTACTCTAGCTTTGAATAACTCCATGGCTCAGAATCTGCCTACAACTCACAGCGCCTGAGGACAATTTACAGCCAATTCCAAACAATTTTTTATTTTTTAACACAAACAATAATGAAAAACGTTCC